TGATCATATTCTTTGGCTGGAAAGGCTGAAATTGGTGCCTTCTGTCAATCCAGTTCAGGTGATATCCTAATCTTCTGTCTTGTTCTGAAGAATCCTGGTGCTTGCTTTGGTGGCACACATACTAAAATTGAAAAGAGTCCTGTTGAGTGAATGTGATTCATATTTCAAGAGGAACATTAACCCATTATCTGATACCAGGGAAAAAATTCTTAAATCAGAGAATGATATGAGACAAAGGGTGTGTCCTGCTATGTCTCTGGGAGAGGGACTGTGATAGAAAATTGGTATCTCTTCTTTGTCATTTGTACCTAATTAATAATATTATATTCTCTCTTTCAATGTCTTAGCGTAAGTGGGCTCAACTCATTTGCTCCTTGCAGTTATGACAGAGAAAATCAGAATAGGCGGCCCTTAATTCTTCTAGCAACCTCAGAAGGCAATCTGCCTTCTGATAGGGTAGTAGCCAGTACAGGAACAAATACTAACTAAATGAAAGGTGAGAAGTAGAGTAGTTAATAGAACATATGCAAAGAATTAGATTATAAGAGACTCTTGTTCTATTGAGAATCACCCAGTCATGAGGCAAAAATCTAATTAGAACTGGGAATCCGCCCTTTTCCCAAAAGGAAAAGTGGCACCCAAGCTCAACTTCCCATGGTACCCCCTACCACAGGAGAACTACAAAAGCCCATTAACCCCAAGGTCTCAGACAGGGCCTATGAACGTTGGCACCCAAAACTCAAATTACCTGGCATCAAGCAGTCTGAGTAGTCCATCACTGACAAGGTTTACTTAGGCTTACACCATAAGAAGGGAGAGTAAGGGGCCAAGGGACCCTCTCAATGGAACCCAGCATCACTCTTCAGGTCCAGCAAAGGTTGCCTCTCCTCAGGATTCAAGTAGCTACTTACCAGCAGCAGCAACCAACACTGAGCCCATATTATGACAATATTTCTCAAGATGACCAGCAAGCCATTTTGACAGATTGGTTGCTTTGGATCCTTTCCACAGGGGGTGTGTGGCTCTGGGGCAGGAATTCATTCTTTCCAGAACTGACTCACACCTTCAATAAAAGTTTCCTTGGCTATCCAAGTTCTCCCACAAGCACCATCATTCAAACATTTTCAGAATGGCCATCTATTGACATGGTATCCCATAAAGTGCTGCCTAAGGGAGATGCACTTTATTATGAGATCCAGAGCTCTCAACATCCTTCATCATTCGGAATCTGGCAGCCTAATGAAATGGTCTATTAAAGCCTCAGCTATCTTTTTAGCTTTTAGAACATACCCTATGGAGTTGGGGGTGACACTAGATGTTGGTTCCATGAATAGCTTCCATTCTTGTCACCATAAGTGACCCCAGGTGAGACCAAAAGAACTGCTAAGCTGAGCCCACCTCACATTCCTAGTCCATTGCATAATAAGCCAATGAAATGATTAAGACAATTATGTTTTGAAATAGTTACATGATGATAGGTTATTGATAGAGCAGGTGAGGCCAACTGTATCTGAAATGGTACATAAAATGTGTGATACAGGTTAAGAGCATGCCTACTAAATTCTATCACATTCTAAAGAGAGCTTTTAGGCTTTTCTCCACAGGACACACCAAGAGGTGGAAAAGCCAGTTCTATGACTATCAAACACTTCCTTCAAATTAAATAAGACTACAAGAGAGATGTTTATTAGTTATCATCTTTGAAGGAGTGTTACAGTTTTTTTCCCGGTGGGGAAGGGGAAGCCAAGTGAGGGGGCCTCTGAGAGCTGAGTTAGACGTGTCTTAGAGGTGTATCACTGCCCCTCCCTGGCTGCTTGGCTACAGAACTGTAGCTCTCTGTAGTTCAAATCTGCAGAGAGAGATTTAGGGTGACTTTGCCATGTTTCCTTGGAGTTTGGATGCCTGCATCAATATAGACACTGCTGCTGGCCTCTTATCAAAATTCTGAAGGCAGGAAGCTTGCTGGAGCAGCAACAAAAGGGCATCATGCTTGTTGTTCAGGACTGCAAGGATATATGAGTTTCCCATGGATCTGATGAGTGTCACAGAAGGAAATAAACTTTGAACCCTTTGCTTGTGCCCTGCTTAAGGCCCTGTAATGGGTGAGGGGATCCTGGCAGTAAGCAGCTGTGGGTATTCCACAAGAGGCAGAGACTGAGAAAAAGTTAGAAGAGATTGAGGCCATTTCTAAGAACTGTGCAATGAAGAGGGCTCTGAAGGATTGTGCTCAGCCATGAGAGGTGCAGCATTTAGATGCTAGTTACACACAAGGCACCCAGAACCAAGAGAGGACTTATAACACCACTGAAAAGTAAATGAAACCAGGGGTTGAGGAGAGAGGGACCAGACAGAAGAAAGAGCTTCACTTGTGTCCTGGGATGGGCTACTGAATCTCCCCAGTGTGAGTCAGAGAAGAAACCAAAAAATGAATGTAGAGAGAAAGACCCAATTTTAGGCATTTGCTGGTCCACAGGGGGCAGAGCCATCTTATGACAGTCTCAGTGAAGCAATAAATTGGCCAGCTCCATTCCCACCCTCTTCAACCCTGGAGAAAAAGTTATGGTGAGCAAGATGGAGGAGATGAAGTAGATACTTGAAGGACAGAAAGAGAAGGGTTCCTCCCTGCTTCTTTAATTCCAAGTTTCTCATTGGTAGCAGGACTCAACTTGGAGAGAGGACACGATATAACTTTAAGTCAAACTGAATTTTGTGAGAGCAGAACTTTGTGGAGCAAAGTTGCTGTATTCATCTGCCTTGGCCATGTAATAAGTGAAAGTCTCAGTACCATACTACAATAAGCATTTATTTTTCACTCAGATGTATAAATGCCTGGGGTTTCTGTTTAGCATAAAACTGTGATTTTTTTTTTTTTTGGTCGTTTTGAGACAAGGGTCTCCCTCTGCAGTTCAGGCTGGCCTTGAGCTCACTTTGTAGACCAGGCTGGTGTCAAACTCTCAATGATCCTCCTGCCTCAGCCTACAGAGTGCTGGGATTACAGGCGTGCGCAACCATGCCCGGCAAAAGTGTGATTCTTGAAGCAGATTTTCTACAAATATTTAACATGATGGTCTTCATTATATGAAGTGTGAAGCAGAAATGAATCCCCTGCTTCTTTTTAATCACATTCAACGTTCACAATTAGTGCCTCTTGATGCTGGAGCTGCTGTTTCAAGACGTGGGTCTAAATCAGCTGTAATTCACGTCTCATTGTCTTCCCCAGCCTGGAGAGAGATTGGAAGCTCCTACAGGGAGCGGGGCACTTCCTCCACACAGCATCAGTTGGATCCAGTTTGCAGTTCCCCCAAATTGCAAATTCAGTGTCGTGAGCCCTCCTCAGAGACACCAGCCCCAGTAGCTGTTTCTCTCTGAGCTCTGAGGTTTCCCTCCTCTAAGTCTGAATTGTAAGGATTCCAGCATTTTCCCTTCATCCCCCTTTTTCTAGACATCTTACCTGCTTCCAGTTGCTACTCTGTGATACATTGCATTCTTCTCTGGCATTTTCAGTTGTCTAATAAGTTTTATATTTTCTCTGTTAAAATGATCAGGGTGGTTTGTTTCTTGACATCTTGACTGATTCACTGGACTAAACTGGATGCCTCTGAGACACCTCCCAAGAATTTCTTCTTTAATTTGCAGAGATGTGAAACAGTTCTGTGCGTGAGGCAAGGGTGGAGGGGCTTGTTTTTAAAATGGCTTTATGCTTTGTGGTTACTATATTTTGATAATAAAACTATAAAGAAATATAATAGTTTTTGATTTTAAAAAGAATGACCTCTTTGCTGGGAATGTAGCTCAGTGGTAGAGCACTGGCCCAGCATGCACGAGGCCCTGGGTTCAGTCATTAGCACAATGAAATTAAAATTTCCTCCTTGATGTATTTTCATGATATCCTCCCTTATCTGTACTCATTTCATCAGAACTTACTATGATAAACTGACATTTTTTTTCTCATCTATTTCCAACCAAGAGTAATAGCTCTCTGAGGTCAAAGCATATTTGTTTCCCCAGTACCTGGCAAGGAAGAAATTCTGAACACACGTTTGAATAAATAAATGAGCAAGGAAAAATAAATCAGGAAATGGAGATATTAGCATGAGGTTTGTAAGGCTCATGTAGCACCACAATGAAAGAGAAAGTTGGGGGTGATGTGAGAAACAAGGCGGGCTGTGGCTGCCAGCTGTGAGCCCATCTGTAAGTACATGGGAATCTCTTGATAAAAGACATGAACCAACCACAGAATGAAGAAAGGGCATCTGAGACTGAAATAATACTGTCTTAAGGAGGACTGTGAGGAGCAAAGGACTGGAATATTCCCAGCGATGCAAAAGTGTGTTGGCTGTTCGAGCTTCTGAGGAATGACCAACCCTTACGGACGCCTCTCACTTTGGCATCTGATCCTGCCAAGCCCTTTACCAGTTTCACTCCCGGTTCCTCCTCGCGCCTTTAGAGGAAACAGGTAAAACCCGGAGAACTGGGTCCCACCTTGCTGGCCGTTCTGAGCATGCGTGTGCCCAGCACTCTCGCGCAAGCGCAGTAACTTCGTTCTCCTAGCTGGTACTGCCCATTTCCAATATGGGGGAGCATTTGCTCAGGCTAATTTATCACCTTTCTTGTGGTCCCCCGCCCTCCGGTTCCTGTGGGAGAAGCCTCGCGAGATTGCCTACGGCAGTCCCCAGCGGCGCCATCTTTGTGCCTGGCGAGCTACGGCGCCCGACGGAAGCCCTAAAGCCGGCGGTAGCCCTAAAACTGGCGGCTAGCTTGCCAAATTCTCCCGTAGACCGGATCCAGGAAATACGAGGCGGGCCTCGGTGGGAGGGACGCACTGAGGGAGGAGGGAGGGAAGGGGGCGGCGGCGGCGGCGGCGGCGGCGGCTCACTCCGGATCCGGGCTCCGCGCGGCG